GATATTGAATTCTAGTAAATTATCAGGATAAACTCTCTGTATCATTAATAGGTTTTCCTTTTGAAAAAAATGATTCTGCATGAAATTTCTTTCAAAAAAACTTTCAAATAATCAGAACATGGTTCTTGATATGTATATCAAATATTATACTTGATATACTATATCAAGAACCAGGTATATACTTAATATAATATAATAATAATAAGTATATATTTGCAGCAGCAATATATGTATATATATATATATTATATATATTTTGCAGCAGCAGTATAGTAACCTGACCACCAATTTCGTCTGACAAAAGTTGTTCTGTTCTACAAATTTTGTATATATATATATATATATATATATATATATATATATATATATATATATATATATATATATATATATATATATATATATATATATATATATATATATATATCAAGCCTTCCCAGGAAAGGCGCGCGGTTTTTTGTTTCGTGTGACCACACGCGATTAGATTATTTTAGAAAACGTGAACACGGCCATTTGCAAGTTTTATAATAATGCTGAAAAAGTTTTAAAAACAAAAAAAAACAAAACTAACAAAATAAAAAGAGATTGAAATAGAAAAAAATAAAAACAAATTAATAATTTAAATAATTTGTGTTTTTATTTTTGTTTCTTTAGAGTTACATTTAGCAACAGAATTAGATAAGGCGAAGCAAAAAAAAAAAAACAGTTTGAAGTCTACAATAAAAAGAATGATTTTCCTTTTCTTAATTTTATTTTAAGAGGATAGTAAAAATAAAAATTGCAATGTGTTTGTAAAATTTATTTTTATAATTTTAATGTAGCATATATATATATATATATATATATATATATATATATATATATATATATATATATATATATATATATATATATATATATATATATATATATATATATATATAAATTAGCAAGAATCTGTCTATTAAGTCACTCTTCATTCATTATTTCGAGATGCCATAAAAAAATGTAACTTTACATTTGAAGGTTCTTTTACGCTTGAAAGTTTCTTCTACATTTGTATTAAAAATGCGTTTTTAATTAACAAAAATAAATATGTCTTGAAGATTGCGTGATTTAACTAAATTAATTTTGATTTAATAAAGCATTCTGGATCTTTTTTGAAAGAAAAATTTATTGGACGTGAAAAAGACGTTCAAAAGACGTTGAGAATTTAAATGGGACGGACAGACGCTAATTGAACGTCCAAAGGACGTCTTTTTTACGTCTTGTGTCCACTGGGTATTATTGTTTTAAAACAAATGGAAATAATTGAAGATTAAGAAAGCAACATCATTAGTTGTCATCATCAGGATAATCATTTGGAATTGATATTTTAAAGATCTTTAAAAATTTCTAGTTAGTTCTATTTCCATCACATATTACAGTTTTAACTTGACCTCAAGATTCCTTTATTAATTGGATAGTAATTCCAATTTGTTCAAAAAAATAACGAGAGTTTATTTTGCTTATAGGTCTCATTTTGAAAATGAGCGATTAACTATAAGACCCAACATTTTTGCAAAAGAAATTGTGTTATCGGTTGTTTTTTCTAATAATGTACCATAATGGTAAATAAGATGAAATTTTCATGCAGAATATGTATACCCCCAGTCAAATACGCCGTTTGCATGTAGGTAAGGTCTGCAGTATAGACTGCCGTATGACAACCCCTTGTCCAAAAATTGTAAATTAGGGTTATTTTTGGTTTTAATCTGTTCTGAAATTAGATAGTTGCTTCGGGGAACAATGACTACAAACCCCGCCTACATGGTGCATCTGTTGATAATTTTAACCTAAAAAGCAACATATATAAAACTTATAAGGCTTCATTTTATTGACAAATACTTAACAAAAAATTGTTTAAAAACATTTTTTAAAGTGATTCAATCATAAACAGCATTTTATATGGTGTTTATGATTAAAGTCAGTTTTTCTTGTTAAAAAAGCTTGTGAAACAATCTCAGAATATTTTAAAACAACTTTATCCAAGCTGCAAATGTTAGCAAAAGATCAAGTGGTTTCAGAAAAAGTGCATATATATGTTAACACTAAAATTAGTATGGAGGATTAAAATATGGTACCAACCATACTATGGTTGGTACTACTAGTTGGTAAATTTTCACTTTGCAGGACTAGCAAAAAAACTACAACTATTATGATGACGTTGTTTTAGAATAGGGTACACTACCCGAGTAGCAACATTGGTGCAATATTGTTAATATAGTTTATATACTGTAAACAATAATGAGCCAATATTGTTTGCTACTCGAGTATTATCTCATGCAGATCAGGTTATTATTGAAATGTTAGAACAAACAGTAATTGAAAGTTACTTCATATAATATATTTTATAATAAATAAATATTATATATTTAATATTCAGAAATAAAGTATACTGAATTTCTTAATTTTTATTGTTTTATTGTATTTTAGATATAAGTGCCAACTGACAAAGCTAAAGTTTGTCAGTTGGCACTTATATCTAAAATACAATATTATTTGTTTAAAGTAAACAAATTTTCGATACAAAACCAAGACACAAAAAACTGTTTATTACAACCAAACAATAGAGATGTGTTGGCTTTTTTATTTAAATGCTGGTTTTCAATATAAACCTGGAGGCTTTTTAATAATGCATTTATCAATAGTACTAAAACTGTTTTGCTGCACATTTGGAAATTTATTGTCAACTTTAACAGTTCCATACTCTGTAATTTAAAGAAACATACGCAAGTTTTGATTAAATTTTACATTTTATTAATTATACAAAACGCTTGTGGTGTATTTTAAGCTAGGGGTAAGGTTAGGGGTAAGGCTAAGGGTTAGAGTTATAATTTACTAAAACGTAATTAAATTAAATGACTTGAACAGGACAGTCACTTTTACCATTGTGTTATCTTGAATTCAAATTTTTTAGATTTTTTGTAAAAATTTTTAATCGAAAATATTTTTCAAAATATGTTGAAAAAGTTGTTTTCAAACCTATTATTTTAAATTATTAGTGTTCTTGATTTTTAGTTATTTCTTTCAATTTTTTATTATATTATCTTTAGTTTTATCTCCTTCTGTTATTACCAGTAAGAATGTTTAGTTTAATCTTCTTCTGTTATTACTAGTAAGAGTGTTTATTCTAGCTTGTTAATCTTTAAATTATCAACAGTTTTTTACCAATAGTAAGAATGTTTATTTTAGCTTATTAATCTTAAGTTTTATCTCCTTCTGTTACTACTAGTAAAAATATTTATTCTAGCTTATTATAACAACAACAAGATAACCTATAATTTGAAATTATAATTTTAAATTAAATTATTAAACTCTTATTTTGTTGTACCACTTCTGTTGCCACTGGTTACATTTTAAAACTTTAAAATATGTTTGAAAACTTGTTTTTAACCATATCAAGATTCACAAGGTTTACATAATAGCTTAATGTTATTTTTTGTTTGTTGCAAATAATATTCTTTACATACATTTTGAATGCTATTTTGTTACTTTGCTTGTAACAGTCATAAATTAAAACTACAGAATGTACTGGACGCAGGAATCAAGACCTTAATCAAATCAATCTTTTTTAATTTGGTTCTAATACAGTGAGAATAACAGACCAGATTTTTGGTTTAGGCAATGGTCCTTCCTACTCGGGGATATACTCTAGAGCATATGACCAAGGCTGCAAGAGTAACAGTGAGAGAAGGGATTATATTTAATTATAATGTCTATTAATAGTGCAATAAGTTTTACTATAGATAGTAATTTATGTAGTAAACTTTATATTTTAAATATATTATTAGTTATTATATATAAATATGTATTTAATATATATAAGGATTGCTTTTTAAAACAAACATGGAGTGTAAAAATAAACATATACTTTTTGTATTTATTTATCAAAACTGTTAAAAAAAGTGAATGAATATTTTGGCTCAAGCATCACTATACAATTTTTTTGTATATGAGTTAAAGTAGTAATATATATTTATAAGAATGAGTCATAAAAGTATACTAAATTATAAGATAAGTTACTCTTACATATGTTTGTAAATTAAAAAAAACACTTCAAATGACCACTTTATAAAAAAGTAAACTTTTTTTAAGAGCTAAATTAACTGATGTTAGCTCTTGCATCAAACCCCTTTAATCTCCTCTTTAATACCATGTAATTCAACCTACCTCTAATTTTTCAAAAATTCGAAAATTAAAATTTAGGTACAAAAGGTGGTGGTCTAAATAACGTATGTGCTAGTCAAAATAGTTCAATGAAGTAAATACTTTCGTTACCAATGAGTTCTCATTTTTAGACTCGTCAGTTTATATAAAAACTAAACTTTAAAAAGGTATGGCAAAAGAGGTAGCTAATACGCTTTGTCGACATTCTTTAGAATGTCGACAAAGCGTATTAGCTACCTCTTTTTACTGATAAATGTTAGTTAGAATATTGTAACTTGTATGAGGCATTTAATTTTTATTAAATTTTTCAGTATATTCTAATAGATTTTGAGCTATTTTGATTTTTCTACAATATATTGTATTGATTTAAATCAATAACTTATTTTTTAAGCACGGCCTAAGCTAAGTAAGTAACTCGGTTATTAAATACAGGGCCGTCCCAAAGAGATCTTAAAGAAGGAATGACGTATCTTTTGTTTGCCAAGTAATGCCTAAAAAAATGTTTTGTTGACTAAAATCTAAAAAAAATAAGGTCTTCGTTGACTAACATTTGCTGTCTGCCAACTATAGATTCAATTTTGCCGTGTCCAAATTCTCCGACTAATAAATTTCGTGGGGAGTTAGACACCCATACGCTCTCCTCCCCACTTCGGACGCATCTGATTAATTAATGAAATTTTTTAATTGAAAAAATGAAGGTTGATGAAGTTTTTTTTGTAAGTTGGTAAAACTTTTTTAATTTTTTACAAATCACTTTTATGTTGTAATAAAACAAAACACGAAGAAGTATATAACACAAAGAAACAAAAGCATAAATATAAACATATATTTATTTTTAAAAAAAAACTCATGAAGGTCTTTACCCAGATTTTCAAATCTTTCTCTGTTACTCATGATATTTAAATTTTCATTTTCGCATTGGTATCTGTAATATTTTACTTTGCTATAGACTCGCATGCTTGACCAAAGCTTACACGATTGTATCATCACTTTTAAATACTTACGAGAAATGGTTTCAATCGTATTCAAATGATTGTTCTCGAATGGTGTGATATTGAATCATATAATAAAGTATGCTGTTAGCAAAGCTTTATGAGCTGACATCTATAGAGCAAGACAAATTTAAATTATTATCTATTATACTAGAAAATATCCATCTTTGCCCTAAAAAAGAATGAAAAATAGAAGGATCATATATGGAACTTTATAAAAACATTTATTTAAAGTACTTTAAAAAATCCAAATTTGTTTTTTTATGTTTTCCATGAAAAGAATAATAAAAAAATTTTTTTTCTCAAAATTCACTAAATTTATGCAATAACATAATTTTCACTAAAGCAAAAATAATTACCCAGCTACGAAACAATTAAGCAGCCGTGGCGCCGTGGTAGCGGAAACAAAGGATCCGTGGTTCAAACCCCAGCTCTGGGCAAGCTTTGCGACATTGGTTAGGAAGAAGGCGTGAACTTTCAATTAAATGCTCATCCGCGGTACTTTGTGATAAAACCGTAAGGACTTCTCGGGGCACCTTAACAAAATTAAAAAAAATTATAATAACTATAATATTATTAATTATATTAAATAGAACATAAAAGTTCTATTAAATATAATTATTACTATACTAGACGAAAACTTGTCATGGAAGCCTAATATAAAATATATTGAAAATAAAATCTCAAAAAATATGTCCATATTATATAAAATTAAACCATTTCTTAAGACTGCTTCTTTAAAAAATGTACACTTTTCATTTATTCATAGGGGTATCTCTTACTGTAATATCGTATGGGTAGTACTAACTATGGTAAATTAAAAAAACTTCATAGTAAACAAAAACACGCATGCAGGATTGTATTTGGTGCACACAGAACTACTTATTGCAAACCTCTTTTAAGGAAGCTTGGTACCTTAAGTGTCTATGAACTTAATATACACAAAGTTCTACAATTGATGTTTAAAACTAAACATGAACTCTCTCCTAATGTATTTCAGTCTTACTTTAATAAAATCTCGCACAAGTATCCTACTAAATTTTCAATTATAACTTTGTTGTTCCAAAAACTAAATTAAATCTAAGTTCTTACCAAATCCAATACCGTGGACCGTTTCTATGGAAGCATTTTTCAAAGTTTATTTCAAAAAATAATAATGTTGAAAACAGAATAGAATCTCTTATTACAAAAAGACTTTGATTTAAAATATCTTGTTTAAAAATGATACATAAATAATATAAATTATCTAAAAAATAGTTATTGACACTACTTCTCTTTTGTTGCAATTTTAACTTAATTTTACTTTTTGTCGAAAGACTTTAAAATTTTTGTTAATTTTTGATATATTGCGTTATATTTCAACACGTGTAACTAATTTTCATATTTATACAGTGTCATCAAAAAAAAAATTTGACTGCATGATTTTTTTAAAAGAAGCAAAAAAAAAAAAACAATCTTTTCTCAATTATTTTTTAACTTCATTTTGAATATTATAATTATTATTATTATTACACTAAATTTGTCCATAAAGAACAAAAAAAATTCAATAAAACGCTAAGATTTATAACAAAACTGTAGAATGAGTAAAAATCAACTAAAATAAGAAAATGACAATTTTTAAAACAAATTTGTAAAACTTATGTTTTATAAATTTTTATGTCTATTTTGTTTAATATAGAATACTCAATACAATTACATTTTCTCTTGTTACAACTAAATAGAAATTAAATTAGTCTTTAAATATTATAATTATTTTTATTACTTGGTTGCATAATCTTTTGCACCAATGACCGCTTGGCATCTGTGGGGCATGCTTTCAACTAGTTTTGTTAACAAGCTAACTTCTAGTGAATTCCAACCATTTAAAAGTGTCATAAACAATTCATCTTCATTGCTAGGTTTTCTGTCTTTTAGTTTAGAATCTAATATAGACCACAGATTCTCAATTGGATTAAGATCAGGTGATTGTGCGGGCCACTTAAAGGTAGGTATTCCAGCGTTTTATATATATCTTTTATTTTTTTAGCTGTATGCTTTGGGTCATTGTCTTGCTGAAACATATAATTTCCATCTGGAAATAGATGTGTTATACTTGGTTTTAATTGGTGAACTAAAATATAATGATACTTATGTTGGTCCATGATTCCTTTAACTCTGTACAGGTTTCTCACTCCATGAGCAGCAAACGCACCCAAAACCATAATTTTTTTGTCATGTTTTACTGTGGCACGTGTGCACTCTGGATTATATAGTTCACCTTTTTTTATTCAGATTCTTTTTTTAATTACCATATCGCGACGTTAGAATTATCTTGTTCTATCTCCACTTTCTAAAAAAATCGAGTTAATGATAGCGTTGTGTTCCTCAAAATAATGTCTTTCTACTGAATTGAAATCTAAGTTATAATTAAAAACGTTGCGGAAAAAACATAAGTTATAAAAAAAATTTATACGCCGTCTCCTAAAGTTTTTTTTTTTTAAATCGTTTTATCTCAAAACTAAAAAATGTGGAGATAAAACAAGATAATTCTAACGTCGCGATATTGTAACACAAAAGGTGACTCATCTGTCCATATGACACTTTTCCATTGATCTAATGTCCAGTTTAAATGATCTCTGCACCATTTTAGTCTCTTAACACGATTTTTCTCGTTTATAAAAGGCTTTTTCGTTTGCCAACCTGAGGTTAACTCTTCACCTATCTTTATTATTGCAACAATTGTATTGTTACATAAGTGTTCAAGGTTTAATTTTTGCTTTATCTGACCCTACAATTCTTCATCACTTCCATCATAATCAATCAATCTTCTCTTGCTGTTGTTTTTTGCTTTCTTCCAGATCCTGATTTTCAGCTAATTGAATTTTGAGAAATAAATCTAGTCACAACTCTTTGAACAGTAGATTTACCACATCCAACTTCTTTGGAAATATTATGCAAAGACCAATCAGTATTGTGCATTTGAATTATTCTACCTTTATCAATGTCTAAAACATGTTTTTTCCTAAATTGGTAAATATGAGTTTTAGCTGATAAACAAATGATATAGCTAAAACTAAATGCTAAAGTGTTAAAACTAAATGCTAAAGTTAAAACTAAATACTAAAACAACATTAGTATGAATGCCTTTTACCTATTTAATTGTTGAATTTTTGTAGAAGTAGAACCAAAAGTTTTCATTTTCACTATATCTAATTTTATTATATATTTTATTATTGCAAATTTTGATTTTTATATATAAACTGACGATTTTTCAATGTAAATGGGGCTCGATGATAAGAGTTTATGCCTTCTGCTTGCTCCAGCTCTCTTATTTATTAACACGATTTATTTTATTGTAAATTTTAATATACGGCAAATAATAATAAAAATAAAAAAAATAAAAAAATAAAAATTCTAAAATTAATTAGTAGTATAATATTTTCATGATAAGTCTTAAAACTAAAAAGTAATAAAAACACGATAAAATAAACAATTGTTTTGTCTAAAAATCTGGAAGAAAAAATCTATTAAATCTGTGAAAGAAGAATTTAGAAAAGTTCTAAATATCAGAAATAATTTTTTTATCTTTAAATTTTACCTTTGTTTTCTAGCTTGCTTAGCTACTCGCTCTCGCCATATTTGAAATATTTCAAGTATTTTAAGAGATGGCCATGGACAGAGAGTGTCTCATTATTGAGACACTCTCTGTCCATGGCCAACAACACCGGGTGGGTGGGGGAGGGGCTGGGAGTCACGTTCTCCTCACTTTTTTTTAAAGGACCTTATTTTTTTATATAAAGGACTTTTTTTAGAATATAACGATTGTGCCCTCCACTTTAAAGTACATGTCGTTGGCCATGCTGTCAAATTTTGGCATGTCTACATTTTATGCAAAATAGTTGTTGCAAAGTTGCGGCCAGCAATTAGACCTGTTAAGAATATTCAAACCTCCTTTTGAGTATTCTTTTGAATAGTGTTAATATAACATTGAAGGTTGGTTGCAGGCGAGTTGACTTTGAACTTTGGAGCTGGCCTGATGTAATTTATTCGTACAGTGTAGATTCAGGAGGAAGTGGTTGAGACGGCATAATTACTGGTGCAGGTAACAGTAATACTGACATTTATTCTTGTGGTTAAGATGACAAAGACTCAGTTTGAGATAATAATATTTCAAACTTATTATTAATTTCTAATTTTTGACGAATAAATTTTATTGATAATGAGTAGAAACAGTGTTTTAAAACCCAGTGATCATTTTCGTTCGTGTAAAAACTTCGCAAAATCTAGAAAGTTATGCTTGCAGTTGACTAAAGATTTCTTTTGATAAACTGCTGAACGTTTTTATTGCATAAAACTGTCAAATATATTATGCCAAACTCTTTTGTTTTCGCAATAGACACCAGCATCAATTATGTGACGTCAGCATTTAGTGTGTGACGAACGATCTGATTAGCAAATTAACAAGATATTGTTTTTGATGGAAATAAGTACAACACGAAAGGTCAAGTATCTGTTAAATAAGTACAACACGAAAGGTCAAGTATCTGCCATTTGTCAAGTATCTGTCAATGTTTGTAACATGAATACTTACAGGTCAATAAATATAATTAGGTTTACTTGATAATTAATTGATGAAACTAAAGATCAAATTATTCACTTGAATTTTTTTTTTAACATAGGGAACGTAAATGTCAGTAAACCACTTCACAAATTGCTCATTCATTCATCCTGATGGAGATGTTATGCATACAACATCTTGGTCAAGACCTCATAAACGCTAACTTTCGTACAAGTATTTTTTTATATAGCGCAATGACAATTAATAGCAGTATTGATGCTATTTCCAACTGTATAACAGACTTTTTGTTGCCAACCAGTCTCAAAATGTCTTTTAGTACTACGCATGCAAACTATATGTTGCTTGCCTCGGTTACCAAATACGCCAACTTTATCAAAAAATTTTCCAAAAAATGATATGAAATATTTTTAATTGTTGTAATGTAAAATACTTTTATCTGCTTCGTTGAATTCTTTCAGTTTCTGAATTCGTTGAGTTCCAATTGGATAGTTTGATGAGCGTATCTAACACAATTAATTTAAGTTGTTACGGCAACCTTGTGTTTGAACCACTCCCAATTATTTCACCTTTATCGTGGACACACCTGTAAAGAGTTGCTACAGGTATGCTGAATGATTGAGCAGTTTTGTTAAGTGATAACTCGTCGCTTTGTACTTTGCCCACTGTAAGCGCAACTTGCTCTGCGGTTTATGGTTTTTATTTTATTTTAATGGGTAAAAGTTTTCAAAGAATATTTTAAATTAGAATAGATTTGATAAAAATTAAGAAAGTATATAGAAATGGTTAATTTAAATTAATTTATAAAAGCGGCATTTACAAAGGTAACAGCGTATTTCATTCGACTTCAAAATTCAACTTTTTTATTTTAAACTTTTTACCGAAAATAGAACATTCAATTTTAAAAAAGATTCTTGACTGGTCTATAAGGTTATGCAAAGATGTTTTAATTTTACTGAGAAAGATTTCGCTTCTTTAAAAAAAAAAGCGGCAAAAAATTTATAAAAATTATGATTAAAAAATTATTTTATTTAAATTTTTTATCGTTTTATAAATAAAATGATAAAAAAAAAATTCTCAACAACATAAAAAGATAATCTACAACATGTACAATAAAATTTATCCAATAAGAGTCAATAATTAAGAGTCAATGGATAAACACTTTTTAAAATCATTATATCATTTATTTCATTTTAACCTGTTTCTATACGTTGAGCAAATTTATTTTATTTTTGAGATATTGCAATGACATTTTTGTATAAAATCTTTTTTAATTTTTTTTTAAGTATTTTTTTTTTAAGTTTAGCATTTTGAAAAAATAAGCTTCATAAAGTGAAGTTTAATTTTTGAAAACTTTAAATATTAATCTTTATTCGTCGGTAAAACATTATCTAAAAAGTTAAAACTTTGAGATAACGTTTGAGATAATGTTTTATCGACGAATAAAGATCAACATCTTTATATCATCATAGTGCTATTTATTTGTTCAATATTATTTAATAAGAAAGTAAATCGCACTCTTTTTAGAGATTAGTTTTCCAAAAACTTTAAAAGTTTGTGAATTGAAAATTATTTTTGAATTAAATTTATTTTTGTTAACTGTCAAATTTATTTTGAAAAGATTTAAAATAAATAATTATCTTTTTATTTTTTTAAATTTTTTCAGTTTTTTTTTTCTTCTTTTTTTTTTTAAACATATTAAATAGGCTTATAATATAATGAACTATATATTAAAAGCTTATTTAATATACAAAAGTTATTTGTATTTATAAACTAAGAGTTATGTTAATAATAACATAACAACTTGATTGAACATTTTTTTTTCTTTTTTCACATCCAAAAATTTAAATTTTCATCATAAAATTTCTTTATGTTATTTTTATATATAATATAAATGTTACTCATAAAAAAAAAAAAAAGAAAAAAAAAAAAAAAAGAAAGATAAATTCAATTCAAATAAAAGAAAACATTTGGTTTATACCTCGCTACATCTTACTCCGTAAAATCAAATTGTTTGCTGTGGGCAGTAAACAGCATACCAGTCACTCTCGTTCTACAGTAATTCTAAAGGTTTTTTTCTTGCTGTGAACCAATGTTAAAAGCAGCAAAAAAAGTATTCATGTAGTGTCAAGTATTTTCCTGCTGTGACGTTAAATGTCGAAGAGCAGTAGAATAAATTACATGAAGCGTTAAGTTTATTCATGCTGTGATAATAAATTTTAAAGAACAACTAATAAAAAAAAAAAAAGTTAGTTAAGAGTGTCAAAAAGCAACCACGTAAAACAAAAACAGTTTAAACTGGTGCCAGCTAGAGTATGTAAATCAACGCGGTAATCATGGCAAATGATTTTGGTTGAAATCATTCATGCGATACGTTCATACTAATGAACAAGCCATCAGTTTCATACTGCTCCAATGATGGTATTTCACAGCTAGAGCTCATTTTCAGCTAGGGTTGCAAAAAAAAAGCATTCAATATAAATATTAGACGCAACAAAGTGCACGCAAACTTTTAAGTCGCCAACGAAGTTCAAAAAAATATTTTTTCATCTCTTCATTATAACATATTTGTTGTAACTTAAAACCTATTTCCCAATGAAAGTGTCTACTTTTATAAAAAAACCAAATAGGATAAAAAGAGATAAAATCTCTTCTTATCCTATTTGGTGGAAGAGACACTTGTGATGAATTTGTAATAAAGTTTATTTGAATTAGATTGTATGCGATGATGTATAATGCGTGATATTGAAATGGGAAGATAGTGAATGTTGGTAGTGATGATGCAATTAACCACCAATATCTGTATTAGACAATTTTCATGATTTGTTTATGTTAAATTAAATAAGGATAAAAACTAAACAGCGGAAAATAAATAATTAGAAATAAATAAGAAAAAATAATTCACAATTAAATTTCTAATTCTTAACAATATGAAAAATGGTAAGTAAAACTGACTCTTTTAACATTTCATGAAATAAAAATCTTACTTATAAATTAATAAATGTTTAGTGCAATAATACTTTTCATTTAATCTTATATTTGTTTTCGAAAAAAACTTATATTATTATAAAATTGTTCACTGTATGAATAATAAAAATATATGAGTAAAAAATTTGGACGCATTTCATCCGGTAATGCTCTGCTAGCCTTCAACAGTTCGGAAGACTCGCACGCCAGCGTGAACATCGAATTGAACTGCGTTCTTTGTTAAAAAAGAAAAAGAAAAAAAAAGAAAGAAACATTTTTTTATTCTTTTGATTATATTGTCAATCTATTGTGTGAAAATGGTTTGTAAAAATGAATTTAATAAAGATCACTTTGCAAAAAGATGTAGCAAAAGATCTACCCGAGTGAGAATGATGGGTTGAAATTTTGTCACTATTTCGAAGGTCAAAGAATGCGACTAAAACATTTGTTATATTCGAAAGTACCACATATTTACAAAGATCAACGACTTTCTCCGCACCTCGGCATGATGGCTTGAATATTTTATACTACTTCGAATAGCTTTCTTTTGTTGCTTAAACAATAGTCAAACAGAACTTTTACGGTTCGTTTAACTCCATTTGATTGGCTTAATTTAAACAATAAGGTTTTAAACACGTGATACTTTCAAGTAAATATTGTATAAATTTTCTTGTTATCTCATGTCCACTTTTGTTCTCTGCTACATAAGAAACACTCTTTCTTATATTGATATCTCCAAAAAGTTGCGGGCAACTTTCATGTGGATTTATCTACACAAAGAGTGTTCAGAAACTGGATTTCTTATTGTAGTGAATTAAATAATTTGTTCAAGCAGTCAGTTAAAATGAGATGTACATGCAGCATACGTCGTAGTTACAGAAATTTAAACACTTCCCGAGGTAGCATTCCAGACGAGGTAAATTGTTCATTTACCAAAGAATCAAACGAAAATCTATTTAATGGCGAAAAGAGTATACGGTTAGAAGTCGGAAAATATTTAGGATCGGGTGGATTTGGTGAAGTTTTTGAGGGACGCTGTTTTGGTCGCAAAATCGCATTGAAGAGATTTCATAAAAACCTCAAAAATCCTCACGCGGTTAGCGAATCATTTCAAGCAGAGAGAGCTGTAATGACACTGTCTCACCGCAACGTTGTGCGTATTCTTGCAACCACCAATCAAAGTATAGAACTTAAGCGCGATAGACTTGTTTTAATGGAATTTGCTGGAAAAAATAACTTACTAACAATAATTAATGACGATAAAGAAAATATAACACCATTTCTTAGAATGAGATTTGCTTCTGATATTGCTTGTGCTCTGAACTATATTCACAAGCAAAATATTGCTCATTTAGACGTTAAACCTGCAAATATTATGGTAACTTACAAAAATACTTGTAAGCTCGGAGATTTTGGGTGTTCAAAAGTATTAGCAGAAAATGGACAATCATCACCCACAACTCCTACAAACTCATATTTAACTGGTACCTTAGCTTACAGAAGTCCTGAATTACTCAAAGGTAACTCCTTTTTTTAATAATCTTTTATCGCGTGTAAATGCATTGATACAAAAGGCGGCAAAGAAACGCAAACAATATGCTAGAAACGCCACATGATAGTAATACAAATTAGTCGGTTATTATACAGGTTTATTAAAATATCAATATTGTATAGAAAATATTGTTTAAAGAAAAGAACGCAAAACGCTTCCAGTCTAAAATAAAATTATTGTCTTGCTTCAAAGCGGTAAATACTTTTCAAAATTTTCACGCAAATTAAACTCCAGTTTACATAATAATTCAGAACCTTTTTGTTGCTTCTATGTTTTGCCGCGTTAAACAAACTTTACTAGGTGGCAAAATGATACTTTTCTTTTGCGGATAATAATCTTATATTTTCTGCTTCAATGCATAACGTTGTAGAGAGGAAAGTTTATTTTACAAATAATATATAAAATGTTTATGTTTTAATAGTATTATATATATATATATATATATATATATATATATATATATATATATATATATATATATACATATATATATATATATATATATATATATATATATATATATATATATATATATATATATATATATATATATATATATATTTGTATGTATGTATGTTTCAGCCTTTACGGCAAATATCAGCCACATATTTCTATAATATACTTATTTTATATATATATATATATATATATATATATATATATATATATATATATATATATATATATATATATATATATATATATATATATATATATATATATATATATTTGTATGTGTGTGTTTAAATTAAAAGAGTAATAAGTGTCCTCAAATATTTGAAAAACTATAAAAATGACTTTTTTTGTAGGTGAATTTCCAACATGTAAGGCAGATATGTATTCATATGGTATATGTTTGTGGCAGCTTCTTACTCGCGAAAAGCCGTATGGAAATGAAAACATGTACGTTGTGATTTTCGGAGTAGTTTCTTACCATTTGAGACCAGATATCACAGAGAAAATGGAATGCGAGAACAGTGCCTATTTACAACTTGTTAAATCGTTATGGAGAGCCGATCCGCTAGAAAGACCTTCAGCAAAAGAAGTTATTGTAAAATTAAGAAATTTAAGGACATGCCAATCTCCTTGCCTAACCAATCAAATAAAGGCACGATGGAGGGTTTGACAGTTTTTTCAACTTAATATTTTTTTAATAACTAAAATTAATGAATAAATTATTTATCTCGTTTAATAGATTCAAAAACAAAACAAAAATAACAATAATAAAATAAAAAATAAAATTTAGAACATTTAGAAATTAGTTTAATATAATTAAAAAATAACTTTAAAAAACTTGTAGAATATTTTTTGTTTCATAACGTTTTAAAAACTGATAACTTTATATTAAACATATACATTTCAAACAGTTTTATGAGATAGCAGCATATTGGATTTTATCTCAAAGCAAGATTCTTTCTTATTTTAAAAAAGTCATATCAAAACCGTGTTTGTAAAAATGTTCCTTTTATTGTAATATGTTTTTTTAACTAAATGTAAATTTTTGTACTTTTTACTGGATACAAATTTCTATGACGAATTTCTAATATGTATTACTTCGATTTAATGTATATAACAGTTTAGTATTGACAAAAAAATATAATAATTAAATGAACATTGTAGTTTGATAAACTTTCTTTTTTTTTCCATTCCGTGTACAAGTTTAGAGTTATGTTCAAACACTACTAAATGTATACAAAACTATTACTATGCTTTTCTTTTTGAGCAAATTTTCAATTTTTCTATTATCAAAGCTAGTTAGTTTATCTTTGAGGACACCTGGAAGACATAGCAGCTGCACAGGAGGTGTTATAGCTGTTTACAAATCTCTAATTTTCCAAGCGTATTGCTGTTTATTACTGTTTATGAAAGATTTATTGAAAATTGTTTTGCGTATTTTAATGTCCAATAATGTAATTTTTAAATGGCTGTCACTACGCCGCTCTTTTAGCTTTGTAACCACGGTCGTTCAGACTTACTAAATAAGTGGAAAGTTATTATACGCTAGCGCAGTAAAGTTTGCATATTTTAAAAGTTTTAAAAATGGCTACGGATAACGAATATAAAAAAAATTCTCATTGACAACGAGCTATTTTTCTAATTTTTAGCAATCAAATATGCATTTAGCCGTTTATTAAAAGGAAATTATAATAAAAGTAACTTCTAGTACACGATAAAATGTTTCAAATTAAATATAAAACCTCTAAGAACGAATAAAATGTAATTACAGCAATGGCTTTTTTAGTGTGTTTTGTTTATCGTTTTCAAATTGTTTTTAAAAAAATTTTGAGCGTAGAAATTTTTAAATTTTAACTTTATCAGATAGATGAACTGTTGATCTTTCTTAGAATGTTTACTGATATTAGTATTCAATTTTTTTTCAAGATTAAAAGATATTTTTTTAACATTAACTTTTAGTAAGCTGTTGCTAGGCTACCCTATAATCACAATACATAATTACATTGATGTGAGTATATATATATATATATATATATATAATATATATATATATATATATATATATATATATATATATATATATATATATATATATATATATAAATATAAGATATGTTAGTGTATTTTAAAAATAGAGTGCTATAACAGAGACAAAATTAGATGTATTTTTGCTAATTTATTAAAATTAACAAAAACACATCTAATTTTGTCTTTGACAGGCAGGCATGATTGTTTTTATTAATATATACATAATAGATGTATGTATATTTTATTAATTATTTTAGCATATATTACATACATATTTAAATATGTATGTAATATATGCATGGATGCAATATAGGTATTTGCAGTTATTGTGGTTAAAAAGTCAATGGAGAGATAAACAAATAAAAAACAAAACAAATTTCTACATTCTATAAATAAATAGTTTAAACACTCCTAGTCATAACTAAAGAATATATATATATATATATATATATATATATATATATATATATATATATATATATATATATATATATATATTCGAATTTCTAAAGTTTTTTCCATTTCTAACTATTTATTGCTAAAATAATTAATAAAATAGCTTATAGTATTTTTTTAGTATTTAAATGAGCAAAGTTTGATCAAATCGAGGGGGCTGTTAATTTTATATGGTCATAACTTTTAGGCACAATAATACAAATAAATTAAATTGAAAAACTGAAGGTTTATTTAGCATTAGATAGAGAAACTAAGCATTTTATCAAGTCATTGTCATCATGTTTTGGCAGAGGCAGTTAGCTTGTAGGGGAATTTTTGTTAACAATCATGAAATTTTTTGCAAAACATTTAGAATTGACCAAAGCATGACCATTATTAAATTTAGTTAAAAAAAAATTTTTAATGTATCTTGAAATTTCTAAGACAACTTCATGTTATTAGAGTAATAACATTCTAATAATGTTATTACTCAAGATTGTGAAAATTTATAATGATATGACCTTGAGCTAATTTCATTATAAACTATTAATAAAAGCAGGTTGATTTGATTCAAATAAATAGAGATTTTTTGAGTCAAGTCTTGAATCACTTATTTGATTTGATTCAAAATATTTAGGCTTAGCAGGGGCCTAATATATATATATATATATATATATATATATATATATATATATATATATATATATATATATATATATATATATATATATATATATATACACGACATGATATTAAATTAGTTTTTTGAGGTAGGTAAGATTTTTTAGGCCTTAAATTAGAGCACACATTGTTTTTGTCTCAATTTTTACTCTTGAGGTGATCGCCATAGCAGAACACGAAGCAATAACATATTTTTGCATATCAACCTCAACATTCATTTTGTCTGAGAATATAACATTTCACCACTTGCTGTCGTGTTTCATCAAGCAAATTAATTTTATTAATTAAAAACGTTTATCTCATTGTGTTGCCCACCAGATTATCTAGATCCATAATGTCATCTGTTTCAGTATAAGGTTTTCAAATATGTGAATATTCAATATTTAACTTATTGGCTATTTGACGAGGAGATAATTCTTGGTTTTAAATAAAAATAGATTTGTAACATGTTTTTTCAGAGAATCTCAACCATGATTTTGGAGTTTCATGCTGTATTACTTCACTCGTTATGAGGCTTTTTCAATATCTAATTTCTTTGTGTTTTCATCATTACTATTTCAAAATTAGAAATTTAGAGTTAATAAATGCTAATGTAAATCAAATTAAATTATTAAAAAAAATATTACATTAATTTTAAAAATAAAGCAGTAAGCATTTAACGAACAAAAAAAATTTAACAAAATATAGTCGATGTTATAAAGTTACATATAATTAGGGATACAAATGAAATTTTATGGTAACAACTTGTCCATTAAATAAAAAACACAATACTTATTAATTAGAAATAATAAAATATTTAAAAAGCTAACTAGTTTTTAAAGTAATTTTAAGCAAACAGGATATATAAGTAAGAATGCTCTAATTAATGGCCAATGGTGTGTGTATCATATATATATATAATATATATATATATATATATATATATATATATATATATATATATATATATATTATATATATATATACATTTATATACATATATATATATATATATATATATATATATATATATATATATATATATATATATATATATATACATTTATATACATATATATATATATATATATATATATATATATATATATATATATATATATATATATATATATATATATATATATGTATATAAATGTATATATATATATATATAATATATATATATATATATATATATATATATATATATATATATATATACTGTATTGTATTACATAGTATACTATGCTTGGACATATATTATTATTTTTAATATTTTATTATTTTTCAGAGTTTGATTTGTATGCATTAATTGTGTTTCCATACAATTGTTGTAATCGTGTTGTAATATAATATGCACACAAATTTATTGGATACAAATTGTATATAATATATAGCTAAATGATTATGATATATTATAAAAACTATATTTTATAGTTTATATTACCTATATTATAAAAACAAATATAAATTAAATGCTATATAAACTATGTAACATAATACATTTATATTTAACTTATATATAAATATTTTATCTTACATATTTTATAAGTAACTTGTGAACTTTTTAGCCTTTTTTTTTTTTTGCATTTATAGTATAGTCATTCACATATAATTATATATTATAATTTATATTATAATCATTCACATATAATTATATATATATATATATATATATATATATATATATATATATATATTTATATATATATATATATATATATATATATATATATATATATATATATATATTTATATATATATATATATATTAGCTATATACCTTAATATAAATGTATCATACATCTACAAAAGTAGTGTTGGCTGAATTCTATTTTTGTTCAGAAAACAATTGAATACTCAGATCTGAAAACAATTTTAAACCAAGATAAGACTATTCGAAATAAAAAAGTAAAAATTATTAAATTGTATTGCTCAGATTTTTAGAAAAACAGTTTTGAAAATGTAAACAAATCACGCTTTTAACAGTCAGATAAATGTAGCAGAGAATCACAGTTTTTTATATATTTAAACAACTTTATATTGTTTTTATCATTTTTGAATCAACAATTCAATTATCTTTATTATTATTTCATTCTATCAAAAATATGCAAATAATAACTACTAAGTAAAACTTTAAAAATATTGTTGCTACTCAGAAAAAAATTTGGTATCTAAAGGCCGTCACCATCTTTAAAATTATAATATTTGAATTTGACACTGCGCTTGCGTTTAATAACTTTCCACATCTAAACGACCGTGTAACAAATACAATATATAAAATAACAATAAATAACACAACTTGCATAGCCACCCATGAATATTATTACTTTATACAATTGTTTTTTATATTTAATTGTTTGAATTTAACATTAAACAATAAACCTAATTAATTCGTTTAAAAATAAAAAAAAACAAAATTCATTTTTCTATTTTTCAATAAATGCCTTAAAGAGAAACCTTCTAACTTTCTTTTTACATTTATTGCACTTTGTCATTATTTTCTATTTATTATATAAAAAAATGTGTCGGGCAAATAAGAGAGATAAAATTCTGTTTTAAAAAAAAAAAGTTTGATAAATCAGGACTTTAACAAAAACTTTCAAAATATTTCTTGATCTTTTAAATATTAGATTATTTTATCTATTTTTTTTAGTTAAATATTTAACTAAAATATATAGATTTTTATAAAAGTATTTTATACTTTTTAGTGGCAAAAGTTATTATCATAATATTAATTCTTTTTAAATTTATGTATTTCGTACTAAAAAGACTTTCACAAAAAAACTTTGCAATTGCAGTCTATGAATTTGTTTTCCTAAATTTAATAGAAATATTAAGCTCGCTTATTTTAATACACGTGTAATTTCACAATTAAAGGAAAATAGCAACAACAACACCAACAAAATAATGTTTTACATTTTATATTTTCAATTTATTTAAAAAAAAATTGCTATAAATTTTCTTATAAACGTGTAACTTTATTTTTTTAAATAATGTTTTTAAAAATATTTTTAGAAATGTTTTTAGTAGTATTTTTACCATCTATG